GCTTTCAACTGGGACGTTTGCCAAAGAAAAAAAAGATCCTTCTAGCCATTCTTTATGGCCTTTTTTGGTGTATTTGGAAGGCGATAAATGACAAACTCTTCAACAATCGGTTCATCTCTCCAGCGAAAACGGCGGATTGCGTTATTACAATGGTTTTCAATTGGGTTAAATTTAGGGGCAATTTGGAAATTTGTAATTGGTGTAATTGGGTTGTTTTCCCTCTTAAATCTATTTAAGTTATTTTTGTTGTCCTAGCCTTCCCTCTCTAAGGCTTGGGCTCCGCTTATTTTTACAAAATTGGCCGTTTCAAAAAAATATATATTTTTTCAACACAAATGAGATTTTGTGTCGTTTATGTTTCCAATTTCCAAAACCGAATATCAGTTTACAATTTAGTACACACGTGGCCATAAAAAAACGATAGTTTACAACACGGAATCATGAGAAAAACATGTCTTAGTTATTTGTTTTTAATAAAAATAAAATTTTAATCTTCAAACCCAACAGAATAGAAATATAAATTTTCATATATCTTGAAAACAAAATATCGTCAAACATTTTTTTTCTTCCATTTTATTTAAATCATAATATTGCTTGCACTTTGCACTAGGATGCTAAATCACTAAAACATCGAATTAATCATAAAATATATAGTATTATTTTCCACCTACAGTCCATTGGGCCGTTCATTGGATCCTGATTTCTTACGCACAGTAGGCCCAACCTTAAATATGTGTTTATGTTTTCTAATTCAAACAAAATCAAATATCAAAATTAAAAACTTTGCTTAAAATAAAATGAGTAAAATCGTTAAAAAGTTGTATATACAAATGATATTGGTCTTTTATTGGATATCTTATATAAGATGTTCGTCCTGTCTGAATTGAACTCAATATTCTTTTACTAGAACGATTTTAGTAAGATTTTAATAACATATAACAAATACCAATTATTTGCTCATTTTGTTTTGTGTTCGAAACATTTGTTCATGCTTTCCGATTAAATTAAAACAATTTCATGTACTTGTGTTATTAAATTGTTGTTACAACTATAACTTGGTAAGAATGTAACCGACCATTAAAAAAATATTGAAATAATTGACCATTTTTTGGAAAAGCTCAAAAAAACCACTTTTTTTTCTTCATGTGTAACCACGTTGTTAGAAAATAATCTTCCAAACAGTATTTTTAGTTTCGAAATATTTTTTTCTCATATTTTTTCTTACTATATTCTTCCAAAATATTGATTTTTAATGAAGAAGATTGAGTTCATAGTCAATTGCTAAACAATATACTTCATCTCCAAGAATCCATTTATAATATTCATGATTATTTTCTTATAAACAATTTTGTTCTTCTTCTAATTTTTTAGTTCTAATTACCCAAATAAATGAGATAAAAAAACTAATTTTAATATTTTATAAGGATTCATAAAGTAAATAGATCGAGCAAAGCAATGTGGGTGAAGGATAGTATTGTAATATTACAAGTTAGTTACATTTTTAATAATAATAATTAAATTAAAAATAGTGTTTTTATTTTTTTTAATTTATTAAATATGATTATATTAATTATTTGGATATATATGTGATTTAAGTTTTATAAAGATATACATGTAATTTAAAATTTTTACAATGATATATACGTTATGAAAGTTTATAAAAATATAAATGAAATTCTTCCTAAATATGATAAATTTTCCTGAAGAAACGAGAGTAAATTACACGAATGGTCCCTATGGTTTGGTGCAAATATATACGTTTGGTCCCTAACTTATTTTTTTAACTCGAAAAGTCCTTACTGTTTGTTTATGTTACGAGCTTGACCCTTGCCTTACCTAAAAAGACTATTTTGCTCTTCTTTTTTTAATTTATTTAAATAAACACACCCCCAACTAGGCCTGGCAATTGGGTTGAGTTCGGGTTGGCGGGTCACGGGTTAGAATACATTGACCCAACCAACTCATATAATATATGGGTTAGTGGGTTGGTGGGACACGGGTTGGCGGGTTGAAAAAATCAACCCAACCCAACCCATATAACCCGTATAAGTATATGGGTTCGTGGGTCAATGGGTCGAACCCAACCCGTATAACCCATTTAATAAGCAACACATTTTAAAATGAAATTGAAAAATACAAATAAAATGAAGTCATAAAGTCTTAAACATTCAACTGTAACACCCATAAAATTCAAGCCAATTTAAAACTTTTTAATCAATTCAAAGCCCATTAGTTATCACAATATGTTTTCAAAATAGTTTCATATCAGAGTATCCCAAAAACCATAAGTCCAAAACACGAGGATGTGTACGATCACGCCTTCGCCTTGCCAAGTCATCTAAAGTACCTGAAACAATAAACTGAAATCGTAAGCACGAAGCTTAGTGAGTTCCCCCAAAATACCCATACCCACAACAATAAACATATAATCATAAACAACATACTATAGGTCCAGTCAACCATCGGGTTGGAATACCCCAGGTCCTCAACCATCCGGTTGGAATGCCAACATACTATGGGTCCAATCATCCTCAGGATGGAATACCCCAGGCCCCACAACCAACAGGTTGGAATGCCCACATACTACGAGTCCAATCATCCTAGGGATGGAATACTCACGGCCCACAACCTACAGGTTGGAATGCCCATGTCTATTGGCCTCCGCACAAAGCAGATAAACCTCAACCGCTAAATAAACATGTGCACATATAACAGATAATCACATAACAGTCTATAGACAATACTTGATCTAACGGATTATACCACATAGCACATGACACCATCCTATCTACCAGGATGCCGATCTAACAGGTCATACCACATATCATATAATATTATCCTACCATCTAGGATACCAGTCTAACAGATCATACCACATACCATATAATATTATCCTACCCTCTAGGATACCGATCTAACAGATCCTACTAGCATAACATAACCAGATAACAAACCAAAGGGCCGGCCTTGGTGCCTTAGACCCTTGAGTATAGTGAGGATAACTCACCTGGCACTGTTGAAGTCCCGCAGATAAACTCCAGCTGCTGGTGGACAGATTCCCGAACTGTCAACATCAAACAATACCCAATTAATAATTGGGTTCCAAGCCCAAGGTCCAACTCACACTCCAAAGACCCAAAAGTCAAGTACTGGGCCAAAGCCCAACATATGGCCCAATTTTCCAGATTAGGCCCAGACCTCTACATGGTCTTTCCTTAAGGCCCATTCAATTATTCTAGTCCAAACTCTTGGTATTCCCATGACCCAATATCACATAATCATAAAGGCCCAGATATGGCCTATCTATGGCCCAATTTTCCAAATTGGGCCCAAGTCTCTCACATGGGCCTTACCCTTAAGTACATCCAATTATTTAGGTCCATTTACTTATTCTTGGATAGCCCTTCAATAGTCCAATCGCCAAAGCCCAATAAGAAAACCCAACACAAGGCCCAAGTGAAATTAGGGTTTTCACATGAAATGACAATTAGGGTTAAGTGTTCCTACTTAACCCATTAAGGACTTAATCCATTAAGTCCAATATTGCTTTAGGTTAATTTGAAAATGATTATTAATTATTATTTTAGGTTTGAATATTTAATTCCAACGTGGGTCCCGATAAATCCCCAAAATTAGGGTTTCATGACATTAGGGTTTTCCAAACCCTAATTAGGGTTTCCAACCCAATACTAGCCCATTAGTCAATTGGTTGGGCTTTTAGGTCAATTTGGGATTCATTGAGCCCATTAGGGTTTCTTTGGGCCTACTAGGGTTTCTTAGGGCCTACTAGGGTTTCTTTAGGCCCATTCTGTCCAAGCATCTCAACTAGTCCAAAACGCAAACAAGGCACACCACCACCCAACACGGCGGTAGGAGGCGGTAGCCACCACCCTACGGTGGTGGTTTTTGAGTTTTTCTTATCATTCCGATACTTATTACAGATTACAACCCAATCCCGATAGCACACACTCACACACTAATATAAACACACACACACACACACCTAGAGACACGCACACAACAACCACCACGCGGCGGCTGGTGGTGGCAGAACAAAAAGGTGGCGATAACCACCATGGTTGGCAGCCATGGTGGTTTTTCCATGGTTTCCGGCCAAAAGGGCACAACCACCCTCGAGTAGCAACACCAAAACACACGCAAGCGTGAACTGATCACGCAAACCCATCCATCAACGACCTGGAGGCGGCAAGCGGTGGTAGATGGTGGCAGGAAAGCGGCAGCAACAACAATACGGCGTCTGGCGGCGGCAGTAGCGCGAGTGGCGGCGACAGCTGCGGTTAACGGCGACACTGGTGACGTATCGACAGGAAAGAGGCGGAGAGGGAAGAGGTTCGACGATCTCCAACCGAAAACAGTCCACGATGGGCGCGGCTTCGCACTTCCGATCTCCTGATTGGCGGGACGTCGTCTTGAGGTTCTCGCCTTTGTCGACAGCGGATGCGACAGTGGAGTACTCGGCGGTTCGCAATGCAGCAGCGAGGAGGCACGGCGGCGGCTGGAAAGAGCTGGAGGTATAAGGTGGCGGCTATGAATAGTTAGGGTTAGGGTTTAATATGGCGAGGGTGGCGGGTTATAAACCCCGTCCATTTTAGAACTTTTGCATATTTACAAGTCTGGTCCCTCCCTATAGGATCTTTTCAAATCAAGCCCAAAACTTACCCTTTAGCCCCTGCCTCCAACAAATCTTTTCAACTTTGATCCAATATTTACCATTCAGCCCCCAGCTTCTAAAAATCCTTTCAACTTAAATCCAGAATTTACCAAACAACCATCAACCTCCAAAATTCTTTACAAACTAACCCGTGAATTACACTTTAACCCCCGAAACTCCAAATCATGTCATTTGGCTTCCCGAAACCAACACTCCACTAATTATTATTTAATTTTTGGATGATAAGAATATAAAATAATAATAAAATTACATTTCGGGGTTCCAGATTTATTATTTAATTATTCTAATTTAAACGGGATGTTACACCAACATAAAGTTATAAACATAAAGTCATAAAATTGAAAATAAACACATTCATGCAAAGTGTAATTGTTCAAACATATCCAAAAATCAAATGCAATAGTTCGTTCATGCTACAATTTCCATTTCTTCCTCCGACATCGACTTCTTCAAGATGACCTTCAAATAGAAACAATATGCAAAATTAAATTTATGATCTTTTGAAAGCTACATAAATAATTATACCAAAAAAACTCACCAAATGACAACCTAAAGTATTTTGGAATTTGTAGCCTCCGTATTGTTTTCGTTGATGTTCAAATTCATTACATTTTGAGTTAGGTTGTCAACAACCACATTCAAATCAACTGCACAAGGAATGGGAAAAAAAGAACAATTAATACAAAATTTTAGTTAACACAAATAAATTATGAAATATTACCTTTTTCTCCAAACAACCAATCCCTAGTACAAACCAAAGCTTCAACCACATCAGGCTTCATGGAACTTCGATATTCATTTAGAATTCTTCCTCCAAGACTAAAAGTCGATTCAGATGCACCTGTTGAAACGGCAACACAAAGTATATCTATAGCTTATTTAGCTAATTCTGGATATCTATATTGTTGGGCTTTCCAAAAGTCAAGCATGTTAACAGGAGAAGTTCTTTTAGCTCTTGGCTCAAGAAGGTATACATGCAATTGACTTGTGGTATTGGAACCCGAATCATCATTATCATATTCGTCAAACTCCTATAATTAAAAATAATATATATAAAAAAGAATTAGTAATTTAGTATATTTAAAAACTAAACTATAAAAGCAAATTTAATGATAATTAAAAAATGTGATTTACCTCAAGAATGTTGTTTTGACTAGAATCTCCCCCAACATTACTTTGTCTAATGTTGTCATCGCTCCCTTGATGTGATGTTGAGTCGAATGTGGTTGCATTTTTTGAAGAGTGCACATATTCATCATAAAGTTCATAAAGGGCACTCTCAATAGCCTTAAATTGTGATGAACCTTCTCCATAAAGTTTTTTATAGCAAAAGTCAACAAACGTCAACTTATATCTAGGATCAAACACCACGGCTATAGCTAACAGAAGATTAAAATCAACCCAATATTTGTTGAACTTATTCCACATTTGAGTAGCTATTCTTTTCATATACTCATCAGGACTTTTCATCTCTTCAACCAACTTCAAATGTATTCCAAAGATTTGAGGGAAATACAAATTTGAAGTAGGATAAAGAGATCCTGAGATCTGAAGAGTCGCATCATAAAACACTTTCAGAAAGCTACACATTTTTTCAACTCTTTCCCATTCATCAGAGGACGGGCAATCTTGAAAGTTAGAATCACTCAAACTAAGATGCGAAAAGGCTAGTCGATAATAAAGTGCATAAGAAATCATCCTATAAGTGGAATTCCACCTAGTAGGAACATCTTGCATCAAATCTTTATTGGTGTCCAAAAGATTTTGTGAGCAACATTGACAAAACCTTGTTTTTCTTGCTGAAGATCCTTTGACATATTTCACAAATTCTCTAACTTTTTCCACAACAACATCAATTTGTTTCAACCCATCTTGAACAATCAAATTAAGAATATGGGCATAACATCTCAAATGAAACGGGTTACCATCATATACTAAAGAATTCATCAAACGTAATTGATTCTTAAGCAATCCAACACAAACATCACTGGAGGAAGCATTATCCAAAGTGATAGAAAACAATTTCCTTTCAATTTCCCAACTTTTATCAACCCACTAATCTTTTTCGCAATAGCAACACTGGTATGTGGAGGAGGAAATTCGGAAAAATTTAAAATCCTCTTCTGTAAGACCCGATTGCTATCAACATAATGGACAGTCAAACTCAAATAACCATCTGTAACAATAGATGTCCAAGCATCAGAAGTCAAACACATTCTACTTGGACATTTAAGCAACTCGATACGAAGTCTATCACACTGACTTGCATATAACTTTTTGACGTCTTCCTTTGCTGTGTTCCTACAAATATGACTGGCATTTGGTTCCAAGTATTTGCAAACATTTCTAATTCCTTCATACTCAACGAATGAGAATGGAAAGTCATGTCTAACAATAGCTTCAATCAACAATTCTCTAAGTCTTTCCTAACTAAACTTTGGAGTTCTCATATTCATTACAACTTTGCTAGCAGAATTCATATATTGACCAATATCTCTGGTATTATTATTTTCACATTTGGTTCGATGGCGAATTAGATTACTGGTACTGTAAGCACTTCTTGTTTGATATCTTTTACCATATTTGTTGCACACACAATATAGGATTTCATCTGGTGTTTTTGTAGGTAATTTAGTAAAAGTTTTCCAAACATCAGAACTTGATGTCCTCGTTTTCCTTTTCTTTGTAGAAGTACTTTCAGCTCATTGAGATTCATTTGGTGCTGCAACTTCTTTAACTGAATCATCACTTTCACTTTCTTCATTGTCACCCTCCACATTATTGTGAACAGTGATATCTTCATTATCCATAACTCACTAGAAAACCACAAAAGAAATCATCAATTATCTAACAGGTTAGAAGCAAAGCAAATAAAAGAAACACAAAAACACAGTGGGTAACAGATTAACAGGTTAACACTTAACAGATTAACAGGTTCTGCTCAACAGTGAATGATATCTTCATTATCCATGATTTGTTTGTCACATTTTTGGCATATCATTTAATCATTTATGGATATTAGAATTTAGAAGAAAATCTAACAAAAAACAAAAGGTAACAGGTTTTGATCAGTGATCAACACGAAAGCAATTCAGCACCCTAAAAACAATTTCTGATCAACAACACAACAATCAAATAAAAAACAGAACAGAAGCAAGCTCATGAATTCTCAACAGGTCATCAGCTTCTAAACTAAGAAACTACTATGATTTTTCAAGATGAACACGATTTTTCAAAAGGAATTAGTCATAATAGATACATAGGTTCGATGTTTTGACTGTTTAGTCAACAGACAACAATCCCGATTGTAGATGACTTAGACTGTCACTTATGAATTACTAGAGGAATCGAGGACGGGGGTGGGTTAGGGTCGTTGGTTCGGACCACCGGAGCACCGGAGGACGAGACGATCAGATGAGCGGTGTGCGATAGGCGGAGGACGAGACGACGACCGATGAGTGGTGTGCGACTGTGTGTGCGACACTGCGATTGTAGATGACTCGATGCCAATCGACGGAGACGGGAGACACGAAGTCATGATCGTCAGTTTTGGACTTTGGAGACTGAAGACATAAGTTCTTTTTGATTATTGATTAGGGGCTAGGGCACACACACTAAGTCGACTCGAATGTCTTTTGCAGTTTTGGAATTCGAAAAAGTGGAAAACAATTAAATGATAATCAGATATTCAAAACTGATAAATAATTAAATATATTTTTTAAACATGATTATATATATATATATATATATATATATATATATATATATATATATATATATATATAATCGGGTTGACGGGTTGACCCGCGAACCCAAACAGGTAACCCAACCCAACCCATGAAATAAATGGGTTGGCGGGTCAAAAATCTCAACCTACACTCGTTTATTTTCGTTTTGGATCAGTGTCGGGTTACGGGTTGGGTCGAGGATTGCCACCCCTACCCCCAACCTCACCCTCACCTCACCTTACCTTACCTACCCCACCATTTTTTCCTATTCCCCCTTCCATTCCCGTTTCATGTCTATGACTGCCCCTCCTCCCTAGAAAGTTATCTACCGTATTATTCACCACCACCGTCCACCCCATCATCAGAGTTAAAACTTAAAACCACTGCATGTCTACATTTAAAATCAAATTTATCAATAAGCCTTGACATATTATATAATATTTATCTTTAACAATTGGACTGGGATATCTTTTTTTTGGAAACGGAAAACGAATTAAGTGGAAGACTACTCGCAATATTTCAACAAGCACCCCGGGTCCGAGCTCCTTTACAGGGCAAACTCAGCCCCATAGGGATTTCCAGGGAAAAATTCCTCAGACGTGGCACCACAAGAGGTAGTTTAAGGGAATCGAACTCCCAACCTCACGCCCCACATGGGTATAAAACTCGGTGCATCAACCCAGCTAGGCTGGACATCACTTGTTGGACTGAGATATCTTATTTAAATATTGAAGCATAAATTAGTTATGAAATCTGAGATCAAAATTGAAACAAAAGTCATACATGGAGCACGAATTGAAACTTGAAATTCAATTTATGTAGATACACTTGACGTAGGACTCCAAAAACTTGAAATTAAACAATCATGGACACAGATTTATGCAACAATACTTAAAATCATACAAAGGAATTTATACAAAGCAACTGAATAAAACTCAGCTGAAACCATAGGTGGTCAGATTGATAATGGAGGTCGACGACAATCTTTTTGGCGATGGAGGCCGCTGGCGATTGCTTATGATGGAGACCAGCAGCGATATACAACATTGATGACATTTGAGATGGTAAGATAGAACATGGAAACGGAGGTGTGTCGCGTGTCAATCTGGCTGATAGAGAGAGACAACGGAGACAATGGGGCAAGCGACGATCGGATGGTTGGCGTCATGAGTAATAGTGTTGCAGTGATATCTAGGTCATAAAGGGGTAATTTTGAAGTCGGGATTCTATCAGTGATGAAGAGGTGGGCGGTGAGGAGTGGATGAAGGAGATACTCGACGTTGAAGAAGAAGGAGGGAGCAGTTTCAAGTCTATAGAGAAGAGGGTGCAGTGTTGAGGATGGGGTCGGTCGGCGATATGAAGAATGATCAATCGACCATGGGTATTGAGAGAGGCAGTAAAGGAGTGAGACACACAATGCCTTTTTTTCTTATTTAGAATAATAAATTAAAATAATATAAATAATAAAATTAATTAAAAAGGAAATTAATAAGGGCATAATAGTCCTTTTAGGTAAGACAATGACCAAGCTTGTAACAAAAACAAACAGTATGGGCATTCGGAGTTAAAATAATAAGTTAGGAACCAAACATGCAAATTATCCAAAACCATAGGTACCATTCACATAATTTACTTTGGAGACCAAATGAAAAAGATGCGTGACTAAATAGGTTAACAAACCATTTTACTTGTTTATGCTAAATTCAAATTGCCATAACATTCATTATAAAACAAATACAGAATGCCTCTTTAATATTAAACGAACAGTCGAACATGTTTGATATTTCTCTGTCTATGTCGACCATCATTATAATTTATTGAATTAAAAGATGTGTAATAATTTATTATCTTTACAGGCGTGTATTTTAATATATAGGAAGAAAAGGAGAATAAAAAGGGAATAAAAATGAAAAATAATAATGATGTATATACATCTGCATTTGAGGCAGCACCAAGAAGCTTGGAAACCGTCCTGTTTGGCTTTATTATGATAGTCATAATTATAATTACTATTTTTATTTATTTATTTATTTATTTTTTTTATTATTATAAAATATGGTCTCAAAGTACTTGGTTGTGGGCTTGTAGGGTCAATGTACCCCTTAATCCACGTCACAACCATGTGTCATTATTTGTCCATTCAATCCAAAGATTCCCCTACTTTATACACACATGATATACATAATATAGCTACACATAAAAAAATAAAAATAATATTTGTAATCCTGAATTTAATGAAATTAATCTGACAAAAAAGATATGCAAATCATATGGGGTGAATAAGGTTTGTTTATTGATAAATAAGAGAATGATGAAAGAAAAAAAATATGAATTTCTTGTAATTTGTCAGGAGTTTTGATGTTCGTTCGATATGGATAGAAAAACCTGAACGGACTGAAGTTTCTAACAAACAAACAAAGGAGGTTTGAACCTCGTGTTGGCCAGAATTACAATGTTTCAACATTAATTATTGATTTCTTCCAAATGTAACAAAATATTTCATATTATAAAGTACGGATTCCAGTTATTTAAAAAAATGGTTTTCATTTAAGAATTTTAAAAATAATTTTTTTTGAATCATATATAAAATCATAAGTCGTTATATTGCCTCATTCCTTCCATCATGAGGTAAGTGACCCCAACCCATATCTATAGTATTACTTAATAAAAGGACATTGGTATTGTGATTAATGACAAAATCATAAGTCGTTATATATATATATATATATATATATATATATATATATATATATATATATATATATATATATATATATTACTTAATAAAAGGACCCCATCCTATATCTATAATTCTATACTAGATGTGCACCCGCGCAAAGCGGCGGTGATCAATCGTTTTTTTTTTTTGCGAATAATTAGTTACCGGGAAATAATGATTAGATTTTATTATTGATTATTATTTAATAAAAAATTATCATTTTTAATTGATACCTTATGTTTATATTACATGTTTATACTATTGATGTAAATTAATTAATATTGATGTTTAGTTTAAAAAAATATAAAGTAATTTATATATATATGAATTTAATATTTAAAAAAATTCATTTTGTTCCAAATTAAATTTCTTAATTACTTTCCTTAATTCAAGTCTTCAAATTTTTGGCAAGTATTAATGAATTATTTATGCATAATTGATTTGTACAAAAAGTTTTGTAACTTATACCTCTTAAAATTCAAGATATGACTAATATGCTTTATAATATAGTATAAGATACTCGTCATTGGTATTGTGATTAATGAAAAAAAATATAACTAAAATATATAACTAAAATATACTAGTCTTTTTATAACAATTTTTAAACTTTCAATCTAATATATTGTAACATCTGATTCAAGGCATCTTTCATTTTAACACTTGGTGTGAATATAGTTTACAAATTTGGTCTCAATGGGCATTATTGTAATTTTTGGGAAAGATGCGTGTACGCTGGGCGTACTTCTAGTACGCATGGCGTACGTGATCAGGGGACAAACCCTAATTTTAGGGTTTGGACCATACTTAAACAACCTTATGCCAAAGGATTCCTCCTCACCAGCCCCCATAGCCTCTTTTGAGTCCCATTTCGAAACCCTAACCCTTTTCTAGAGAGAGTTGACATTTGTGTGTGTGTTTTGGTGCATGTTTGGTGTACCTCCATGAACAAGAAGCTTAGTTGAGGAGCATTGATCAAGAAGGAGCTTCTAGATCCATATTTTATTCATTATTTTCAGCTTCATAAAGGTATAAAGCTTTGACCTTGCTCATTTAATGCTTAGCTCTAGATTTGGTGGAGTTTTGGTCACTTTTTGGTCTCATGAATGAGATCTAGTGGGAATTTACCACTCCAAAAATTATGAGTTGCTCCTCTTGATGTTTCTGAGATCTCTAGTCCATAAAGTTTACATCTAGATGGTTGAAGATTAACCATGCATGAGTAAATGTCCTTTTTGATGAAAGTAGGATGCTAAATCTAAGGTATGAGTCCATTTGAGCCATATAAAGGCATCAACTTAGTGACTTTACGGATTAAGACGTTCGTCAAGGTCTGGATATGAAATATGGACATTTGGTCTTAAGCATTAAGGGCTTAATGGATGAATTGGATGAATGGGGCGTACGTCGGGCATACGAAGACGT